GTACCTTAGAGATTAGTTTAAATTTTTCATTTTTTCTCAAAAGTTTTCTCATTAAATGTGAAAAACTGAGATAAAACATAAGAAAACCAGGAAAGACATAGGCAAATGAGATCAATTTTGAATGTTAAGCTTTCTACCATAAGTTATTCCTAAATAAACCCAGATTTTTACTTTAAACAATATATACAACAATATTGATGCAAGTGTAAATTCATAAGAATTATTTTCTATTATTTTTAAATAGATAAAAATTATACAACAATGTCAATAATTAACCCAACCTATAGTGATATATAATTTGTATAATGATGTGGCTGTGCCTCACATAACCATTAGATTATATTATAACATTATTCATGGATTTTAAGATTAAATTTAGTTAGGACATAGTACATTTTGACAAATAAAAAAAATGATTTTGACTGATATCTTACAATATTTTCTATAAGAATCAATATATAACAAAGATAACATCCCAGATGAGAATACTTATTGTTATTACAGATTGTATAAACCCAAACAAATAAAATAATATATACATTTTAAGATTACGGTATCCTATGGTAAAATATCTCTATTTCTTGCCCTGGTTTAAATTACATTTTCATTAATTTATTGGCATATTCTTCATAATCAAAGGAAGAATATTTCGTTAGATACATGAATTTTCATAACGCATTGATGTTTGTAACTGCTTTTCTTTCTTCTAAAAAAGAAATACCAAAGTACTATAATATATAGTAAAAAATATGTCGTTATATATAACCAAAAAAATTAAAATAATTTATCTAACAAAAATAATTTTAAATTAAATTTCTTTAACTTTTTCTTTATCATCATCATTATCTGTTTCGTGTTCATTGTCTGATCCTAATATTTCTGTTTGTAGTGTTTATGTTTTTCATTCGCTTCAAAATCGGGATCAAATTTATAAACATCTAGAAATCAAGTATAGCATTTGCATTTAATCAACTGTTAAGTTAAGATTACAATTTTAAAAAGTCTATGTTTTGAACTTTTTTACATAATTTATTTTATACAGTTAATAAAATTGAAAAAAAAAATGGATTTTACCAAATAATTTTGGTAAACACATTTTTGCAATTTGATTCAGAAAAATATCTAATCGTAATATATGTACATTGAAAATTTAACTAACTTGATTCCTAGGTATAATAACCTTTATCATTTTAACAAAAAGTGTACACTTTTTTACATAGAATTTACACTATGTGTATATTCTATATCTACATATTTGATGGTGCGACTAGTATGAATAATAAATTCTTTATCAAAAATTCTAGTAAAAAGTGTAAATTCTAAGTAATAAAATTTGTACACTTTTTGTCAACAATATATATGTCATTTTGTAGTAAAATAATTATATAGGCTTTATATATTCTTTAAGAAAATGTGTTTAATGTTGTACTAATTTTCCTGGTTTTCCTAAGATTTTCTCAATTTTACACATTTTCTAAGAAACTCTTCAGAAAATCAAAAAATGACCTTTCCAAAGTACCTCCTTGGTAAAAATTTCTTTTAGAAATATTGTTATCATTACAAGTTTGAGCAAAATTACTAATAGAAAAGTTGTGCACAAAAAAAAGAAGGCTGTAATATATTTTAACCAATACTTGCATTTCACATATTTCCAGTTTTTTTTTCGGTTTTTAAAATTTGATGAAAAAACTCTTGAGAAAATCGAAAAATGACCTCCCTATGCTTATTTTCTTTTAGAAAAGGTAATACTACACGTTGGGATCTGAGTCTTCTAATAGAAAAGTTATACAGTTAAAAAAAAAAACACCTTTGTTAAGCTATAAGCTTCTTTGCTCCACTCAAAATCTAAAAATAAATGTAAAACAATGTACTTAATTTGTGTATTAAATCTAATTAAGATTTATTAACATTATTAACATTTCTAGGAGGGTACAGACAAAGCGAGAAAATTGTTTTTTTAGTTTACAGTTATTGAATTTTACTTCTATATTTTGTTTTTTAGAGGCACATTGCAATTTTTCTGGGGACCCAATCATGAGACACACCAACACTGCTACTAAATATTCCTATATTCCTCTTCTCGAGTGGTATAGATGGTCATATAGTTCACATTTTTGTTAATGTTTGTTATGATAAAGTCCCTCATACATACTCACCCATCTAGTTTAGCTGTGAAAAAGTAGCCTCACAGGATACACATTCAATTCATGTTACTACTGATTGTCGGTCAATAAAAATAATTTATTTTTAAAATTGAATTAAATAATTGTAAATAATTAGTAACTTGACTTGTCAGTGATACTTTCTTGCAATATTCTTAATTTTGCAGGAAGATTATGGGCACCGTCAGTTTTTGATGTTAGTAGTTCGTCATCGATGTGATTTCTTTTCGAATTGCGAACTTTGCACACTTTACTTTCCACGTCTAAAAATAGAATACTACAATTTAAAATACATTAAGTTTATATACCTATTATAATATAAAGAGAAAAGACGAATAAACACCGTGTCATGTCGTGTCATATAAAATAATTTTCTCCGATTAGCTGAACCACATCCTTAAATTCAGATTTTAGCCAGGTTAGCTAAGGCAGAGGTAAAAGTACCTAATTAATATGAACGCAAACGTGACAACTATAAGGTAGAAGTTTATTATTATGTTAAACGACAACAATAACAAAAAGGAGAACTCGTGATTCGGTGTCTAGCGATGTAAACGGACAACTTGGCCGGTGATAACGAAGGACGTCGTGGGTGGGAAAGTGGTGTCGGTCGATGAACAGTCGTAACGAGAAGAAAATGTCCTGACAGTGATCGGTTAGCGCCCGATAGATTGAACCCCGCGGAGAAAAGTTATACCATATGGTATATCGTTATTTTATCACGCGATACCACAATAGAGTATAAGAGTGTAGTGTGACGTCATGATTATTTTATCACCCTGTGATAAGATTTTCTTGCTCCAAACAACCAATATTTCGAGTTCCCAATTATTAGTTTTTCAAAACAAAACAGTTTTAAATTTACCATTAACCATTTACACTACATTTTAAAACAATAATACTTATGTTAGTAACTAGTAGTGTGTTTATTGTTAATAATGATCATGGCTGTGTCTAGTTGGATCAAATTACATTATGCTTTTGCATTTTTTAAAGAAGTAGTAAATTTAGTCAAAAGAGGTGAAATTGCATATAAAAGTGCACATGTGAAGGAATGTAATTTTTGTGGATATTAATTTAAAAGGTGTACTTAAAGCTAGTATGAGGGATCAAACATACCCTATATAAGTATATCAATGAATAATCATTTATGTAATATTTATGTTTAGTATAAATTAAGATATATGCCCGTACTGGTATATGATTTTATTTATTTGTATGGCTTAACGACAAATTAACATTACAGAAAATTAAATCTAGCTTATAAATAGTAATAATTTAATAAAATAAAATAAGATTAGAATAAAATAATAAAAATGTTTAACATGCATAGATTTAAATAAAGTAAATAGAATAATGGAAAAATATTGCGAAAAATGTATGGTATCCAATTAAAATAACCAATATTTGACTATTGCACCATAGTCGCTTTGGAACATAGAATGGTTATTCACAGATTCACGTCCAATTCCTTTATCCATTTTATTGCCTCCAGTGTTACCGCATAGATTCCTTTGATGCCTGGTTAAATGTCTTCAGTTCACATTCTGTTATAATGTGGTTTACTGTTCGTCTGTAATTATTGCAGTGACATGTCGGGTTATCTCGGAGTCACCATTTGTGCATTATGTCAGCACAACAGCCATGGCCTGTACGAAAGTGATTTTAATACAGACTACTCATATCTAGGTAGTTCCATTCCCATAACTTCTTGATTGGAGTCAGGTACCGAGTTATTGTTTGGTAGCAAAAAAACAAAATCAAACATTGAATAATAAGTTTCATTTGTCAGATTTTCTTAAGACATTTGATTAATAATTCATATAAAACATTTATCAAAGAAATTAGAATTGTATGTAAAGTTCCCCTTAATTACAAATAATTACTATCATGTATTTTAATTCATAATAAATTGTTAAGTCTCAATTAGTATACAAACTATATTTGATCGTACTCTTTAAAATTTTTTTATAATAATTGGGAAAAATATGTACATTTTTACTTAACTTAACCTACGCTACCAGCCAAAATTAAATTATAATTAACAAAATTGGCATTTTTTTAATTCCAAGTGATTATTCTCATTGATATTATTATAATAATATAATATTTTATTTATTATTATATATTTAATAAAGTCTTATAATATTATTAGTTAAGTTATAACCCACAATAATATTAATAAGGATAATAATACTATATTTATGTAATTTACAGTAACTATTTAATACTTATTATTCATTTTATTTACAGTATTTACAGAAAAAATACACAAACTGATGCTATAAAACTACATGATTCTATAAAAAAAAAAAAAATCACCCTTATTCTCAAAAAATATCATTTTTTAATTCAATATTCTATAGTAACGGCTCTCAACCCATGGACCGCGGGCAGTGTGTTACTGGACCGTGAACCATATAATATTAAATATTATATAATATATATTTAAAATAATATTATTACATATTTTTATTATATACCTAATAATATTTGTGGTTATATTAATATTTATCAATATTATCTACACTCTACAGTCTACAGTGTCCAATTAGTATACAATTAACGCTATTGAACGTTTGAATGTAATTTCATCTCATATAGTTCGTTTATTATTAATAGATTTTTATCGTATTTAATGGTGTCTTGGTGAAGCCTTTGCGAGTTACGATTAACTTAATTGGACTTTCGTTTTTGTAAATTATTTGACTAATACAAAGAATTTACAAAAGCGAAAACTACTAATCGTAACTAGTTATTGCGAGACAGTGGTTGTGTGTTATTGTGTCGCTGTGTCTGCTGTGAGTTATTATCTACTATTAACTACTACACGTTAATATGGATGCTTGGTTTCGGACTGGGTCTTGCCGTAAAACGAAGCTGTCAAGTGATGAAGGAACTAGTAATATTGAAACTGCTAGTAGTGATATTGTTGAAATGTCAATGTTAAATATAGCAAAGAAAACTAAAATATATTTTCGTAAGTATAATCCTGATTTTTTAAAAACCGGATTTGTATTTTCTGGTATTGAGGTGGAACCTCTGCCTCAGAGTGTGATTTTTTTCGAAACGCTATCCAACGAATGCATGAAATTCTCAAAACTTGAAAGTCATCTATCAACTAAACATCCTAAATGTGTAAGAAACCTCTCGATTTCTTTGAAATCAAAAAAAAAATTTTCTATGACTAAATTAATTATGGACAAATCTTTAAAACAAAACATACTAAGTATCAGAATTTCTTATGAGCTTTAATTGTTAATCGCAAAGAAGGGGTCAGCTCACACCGTGATAAAACTTATTATTCCAGTATCAAAAATAATAAGTAATGCTTTGTTTGATGAAAAATATACAAAAAAAAAAAAAAAAATGAAATGAAATTCCGTTATCAAATACAACTGTAAAAAGAAGAATTGATGAGATATTAGAAAATGTGAAAATAGCTATTATTACTGTTTTGAAGTGAATATTTTTCGCTTCAACTTGATGAAAGTACAGCCGTTGCTGGCCAAGCTAATTTATTAGGTATTGTTCGTTTTGAGTTGAACGGCAATATTAAAGAACAAATGCTGTTTTGCCAGTCTTTGTCAACAAAAACAACTGGTGAAAAAATTTTCAAATCTGTTGACAGTTTTATAAAAGAAAACGATGCAGATTGATTTAAGTGTGAAGGTTTGACAACTGATGGGGCACGTGCTATGTCTGAAATTCATAATGGGTTAATTGCCAGAGTTAGGTCAATTACTCCTTTGGTTTAATGGACAGATTGTAGCATACATAGAGAGGCTTTTAGAGAGGTAACTAAATGTTTGGATGAGTGTCTCAAAAACTGATGATACAGTTAAAATCGTCAACTTTATTAAAGCAAAGCCAAAAAACTCCAGACTTTTTGTTGTTTTGTGTGATGAAATGGGCAGTGAACACAAACAGCTTCTACCTCACTGTGAAGTTTGTTGGCTGTCAAGAGGTAAAGTGTTGTCAAGATTGTTTGAACTCCTCGACGAACTTAGGGTTTTCCAAAGGAAAATCCAATGGATCAGAAATACTTTCGAAAATTACTTGAAAAAATTGAAAATATCAGCAAGTGAAAAAGATTCGTTTGAATGAAAAGCAATGTCAAAAATAACATTAAATTGTTTAATTTGTGATTAAGTTGAATAAAGTGGTTTTCTTAATATAGAATAGATTTTATATATATATATATATATATATATATATGTATATAATATATTATATAAGTGCTTTCGTATATAGGTGGGCCTCAGATGTTTTTACAAAATTGGTGGTCTGCATAACTAAAAGGGCTGAGAACCGCTGTTCTATAGACTTGAACATATTCCATTAAATAAACATAATTATCAACACGAGCTCAATATTATCTATAATATAGCCCATAGAAATAATTTCAATTAAAATACTATTAAAAAATTCATAAACATATTAATAAAAAATAATATACAACTCACCAAATAATGTTGTTAGCTATTGTAGTATTAATTATCAAAATAATATGTATAACAAATCTGCCAAAATTCTTAACAATAATATAAATAATGTAAAAATTGCTTTTAAAACTAATAATAATTTAATCAAACATCAATGGAACTAAAATCTTCACAAAAAATCACCCTTTTGAAAATGCTGGTATATTTAAACTTATATGTAACTGTAATAAATTTTATTTAGGTAAGACAAATAGAAATTTAAAAATAAGATATAAAAACACATTTCTGAAACAAAATTAAAAAATACTGCTCCTAATTCAAATTTTGCTAAACATGTTTTAGAAAATAACCATAATATAAGCTTTGATATTAATACAGACTTAGAGATATTAAATACCCAAAATACATTTACATTAGAAGTTCAGTTTTAGAATAATTGCATAATTGCAATAATGTATACAATGAAATAAAGAAAAATAATTTTAATAATATTTTAAATGTACAAACAGATTTTGAAAATAATATCTTATATAAATACGTTTTCTATAATATTTAATAATTAATAGACAAATAATTTATATTTCTTAACATATATATCTAATAATAACCAATTTTAAATAATCTGTCCTATTAAAGTAAATTAATTCTGTGTAAAATGACCAATTTGTATAATTGTTTTCTATGTATTCTTTCGTTTAATTTTTTATTTTTAGTTACGTTTTACATTTTGACTGTGATATACCTGAAGAAGAAATTTTAATTGTAAACGGGTTATATAATATACTTATCATAATACTTCAAGTTACGCATTTATTTATTTGTTTACTTTTTATTTTTATATATAAAATTGTTTTGACTATTAGCGCTTACAACTCGCCACTACCTTCTCGACACCACCGTAAATTTTGAATGAAAATGAGATATGTATTAGCTGTATTGTTGTGTTTTTTTTTTATACATTACATTTTTTTTTATGTAGCTAACCTACAGGTAGGACACATAGAAAATTGAATAAATTAAATAAATTAAAATATTTTAAATTATGTGATAGTAATATTTTTATAGATAGCAACCTCTAGATGCAACTTGATACAAATATTAAAAGAAACACTTTATTTAAACAATAGAACTTTTACTTTTTATTATATGAGATTTTACACAAACATTCATTGTAATAATGATGTGCCTCGAATAATATATAATGGTTATCACAACATATATTAATATTATACACATATTGGCGACATAACCCATTGCATTTGCATCAAGGATTTCGAAAAATTTACTGTAGTTTTCTCAATAACCTCTTGGACCTCCTAAGTTCCTTATTTTCATCATTGTCACTCCTATCCTCTGTTTCTGAGTTTCTTCTCTCTGTTTCCAAGTTTTTTCTCTCTGTTTACAAATCACCTCCTGCTTATTTTGTATTGACATAGATTAAATCATAGAATATATATATGGACTGTCCTTAGAAAGAGAAACATGGGAATGAGATTGTTAGAAAGAGAAAATAGACTGGCGAGGAAAATACAGTGTTTCTACCGCCAAATAAAAAATTATGTTACAATAAAGTTGAACCGATCATTGGTTATCATAATTATCGCTTCATCAACTATGTCTAGCTGGTGCATTGGGGAAGTTATGTAAATGTTTATTTGTTTTAAATGTGTAAAACATTTTGTGCGAAGGTTACTGCTGGTATCTTGCTGTGTCAAAGGCTGTGATTCAAAAGTTGGTCAAAATATTTAGTTTCATAAGTAAGGACTATTATGTACAATTTAAGCCAACATTAATAATTGTAACTAGTGTGGTCACTAAGTCTTTTTGACCATTTACTAATATCTCATTTTTTTAAGACCATCTATATATACTAATATATATAAATTTTTTTTTTGATATATGAATTACTTTATATTATTATACATTGTTTCTTTTTATTATGTTTTATTACTAAAATTGATTTGAGTAGAATCATAATGCAAATATTTACAGTTTTTTTCCATAGATTAAGTCACAAATATAAGTACCATTTAAAATAGTTTTTACATATAACTTTACATAATATTATACAGTATAAGTATTCAAGTCGACTAAATAATGCAATTTATTTTTAAAAAGTTATTTATTAAATTTTATTTTTTATTTATAAAATATCATATATCTGGTTTTTTTTTATTATGATGCGACTCATGGCAGATTTTTAATTCAATAAATTGTTAGTTAAAGGTTTTAATATGACTTCATACAATTTTTTAGTATTCTTAACAGATTTAAGCAATGAATACATTACATTTCTAAGGAAGTACAATATGTTTTTCAAACAGACCAATAGTTCCAAAGTATGAAGAAATATAAAGTTTCATCTACAAGTAATTATAAAACTAAACATTTAAATAAAACCACAGTACCCAGTGTTTTCAAACAAAATTAGTTTAAAATAATAGATCTTAGTATTCATATACTATTTTTGTGTACTATGTATTAAAAATGTAATATATATATTTTTTTAGATCATCAGTCCATAGTTCAGATACTGTTGTTTTTCATGGTGGTACAAAGGAAAAAATAGTAACATTGACAATATCAAACATAAGCTGAATCATTTGAGCCTTCTGTGTCAGGATATTAGAAAAATAGAAAATAATATTTTATTAATGCAATTTAATTAAAATGATTTCATTATATTTTCAGAATAAATCATAGTACAAAATTTAGTTTCTACAGAACTTGTAGGACCTTCTGATCTACATTTAAATGCAGTTGCATCTTTTCTTGATACACAAAATACAGCAACTTCATGCAAACAATCAACCTCATATAAGTAAGTTATATCTGCTAGAGTTATTAAATGTAGATGTTATTATAATAGATATGATTAAATTTATTTTTTTTTTTATTATTATAAGAAAAGAAAATGTTTTATGGGTGATTTTAAAGACCCTAGTGATATTGATAGTCCTAATAGCAAACTAGAATACTGGGTTGCTTCACAATTATATGTGGCAAATGAAAGAAAATGAATCAAGTACTTACATAAAAAAAAACCATAGACTTGAAAAAAAGAATAAATACTTTAAAAGATATAATAAACCACCTTAAAGATGAAAAAAAAACTTATATCAGATAATTGCTTCACTGGTCTAAAAGTATGTATTTAATATTATGTAAAGCTTGTAGTGCATGTATCTAGATGATGTTGTTTATGCTTTTTAGGAATTGTTGTCATATAGTCAACATTAAATGGTTATGAAACAATTACATTGATTTTCAGGAAAAACAGTACAGGACACCCAGGACACTCATTTTCTCTCACTTCTACTCACCTGCAACTTATAACTATGTTCGAAAGCCGTTCAATAAATGTTTGCCACATCCAATTACACTTCGTAAATGGTATTCTGTTATTGAGAGTTTATCAGGAATCACGAAGAATCTATGAATGCTATTAAAATGAAAGTTCATGAAATGAAAAATACAAATGTAGATCTAGTATTTGGCTTGATTATGGACAAAATATCCATAAGAGAAGCAATTTATTTTAATGGCCAATGTCTCTAGGGGTATATAAATTACGACCGTAACATTCAAGATTCTTATGCTATGCCTAAAGCTACAGAAGCTCTTGTCTGTTCTGTTGTTGCCTTAAATTCTCATTGAAAAATCCCAATTGGTTATTTTTTAATACATGGATTACAGCAGATGAAAGAGCCAATCTTCTTAAAACTTGTTTAATAAATATACATGAAACAGAAGCCAATGTTAAAACATTAACGTTTGATGAAGCTGCTTCCAACATTTCCATGACTAGACATTTGGGAGCAAATTTAAATAAACAAATTTCATAGTTCCCACATCCTAGTACAAATTATAAGATATGTATATTTTTAAACCAGGCTTAAATGTTAAAACTTATCAGAAACACTATTTAAGATTGGGGTATATTGTATGATGTTGAATATAAGTTAATAAAATGGAAATACTTCAAAAATCTGGTTCAGTCGCAAGAAAATAGTGGTATAATTGGGCTACTAAAATTGTACTGCACGCTCAGCTGTTCCATTTAATTGTGGATAATTTGAGCTAGAAGTGTTAAGGTCTATACTATATTCCTTACAAAATTGTCTAAATTCATTAGATTCATAGGGTACATTATCAGATACTAACACCTTTGGATACCCATATACACTTTTTAAAAAGATTAATCATTTCACTTGCAGTTTTCCTTTGCACTTAAATTATTTCTAACCACTTTGAGTGGTGATCTATAACAACCAAATATTAATTTACTCCACATGTATAAATATCAGAACTCACTATTTTAAATGGCAATGTTGTTGCTACATGTGAAATTAATGATTCGTTCACATTAGCATTTTTGTATTTAGCACATGTGTGATACTTATCAACATTATCTCATTATCCATTGCTTTAATTGTTTCACACTTAAAATTGTTTTAGTCACTCCATTATGACATTCATGATTGAGCTTTAGTACTTTAGTTTTAAATTCCTTTAGTACTGTGATTCTGTTTTCATAATATATTACTCCATTTTCAACACTTATCCTATCTTTTAAATTTCAGTAATATCTTACATTTTCAGGCACTTAATTTTTCTCTTTTGGCCAACCTCTTTCATATAATTTTAATTATTTCCTTCAACTCTTTATCATTTTCAGTAACTTTTGCTATTTTTTTAAAATTTGTATTCCTATACTCAATTGTATATAACACCCTTTCTAACTATTTTTCACTCTCTTCTTGAGTTTCAATAAAATTTCTTGACAGCAGGTCTGCTATAAACATTAATTTTCCTGGTAAATACTTTACACATAGATCATAAATGATTAATTTCATTTTCATTTTCTGAAGTCCAACTGATATTACTTTATTAAAGTTTTTTTGAAAAATGTGTATTAAAGTTGAATAGTCAGTCATTACTCTTGTTGTAGTTCCATAAATGTAATTGTGAAATTTTTTACATGCTATATTCATTTACTATATTCAACATTTCTTTTTCTATTTGAGGATATCTTTCCTCTGCTTCATTCAGACTCCTTGATGAAAAAGCGATTGGTCCATTGCCTTGCAGTAAACAACACCCCAATCCTGTCTATGAACTATCACATTATACAACAATTCTTTTTCCAAGTCAAAATTTACCAACACCTGTGGACTTGAAACTACCTTTTAAAATTATTTATAACTTCAATGTGCCACAGTCCAATACTAACATATATTCTTTTTTAGCAATTCCCATAACGGTGTAATTAATGTAGACATGCTTGGAATAAATTGCCTTAAATAATTAAATACTCTCAATAATCTTTGTAATTCAACTTTATTTTTGGGTGACTTTAAAGCTATTAATGCCTTTTTACTCTTACCTTATTACTTACCTTATTACTCTTGCCTCATTTGGTTTCATACATTCATCATTAAATTGTATACCTATATATTTAATTTCATGTTGTTTATATTTAATTTTTTCATTATTAAATTTATAATTTATATCAAATTTATTCCTAAACAATTTCAAATTGTTAATTACCTTTGATTGTATGAATGTTATTTATATTTCGAGTGATATCTACGTTGATGGAGACTAATATATTGCCAGTATTACCATATAATTATAAATATAAATAATATACTCCATACTCCATAGCCTACACTTTACAGTTTACACATACAACATCAGTGTCTCATTTGGTTAAGGCATTATAAAAGTGCACATTTATAGTACCTTAGTTCGGTTTAGCACATAATTGTGGTGTGTATCTATTTGAATTATTTATATATAATTTTTTTTTTTACTTTTATAAACATGTAAATTTTTTTTCATATTTGAACTAACAGCAGTGCGGGATCTGTTTTCACAAAATTTCCCCACTACTGCCAATAATAGACATGTTATTTACAATGACGAAACGTATATCAATTTTTTAAAACAACGTGGTGTTTTGTCCACTGTTAAAGTATACCAGAAAGTCAATTCAAATAATGAAGTGTGAGATGGAGTTCTTAAGGAATGTACAAACATGATGGTGAACGGCTTATTGGGACATCAGTTGATGGTGGCGCTCACTCAATGCCTCCAAGAACCTTTTCGAACAATTCTTAGATATGAATAAACTTCTTTGATGCAAAAATGCTCAAATGGCAAGTGACACTTACATATTGCGAGATGGGAGATTATAGATAATATACAACGCCAACAGTTGCGGTAGGTATATTTTTCATATATTTAATATTTTGATGTATACATCCGCGGATTCAGACATTTTTTAGAGAAAAAGCACATTATTTATATTTTCAGTAAATTAATAATAAATTATATATTAAATTGATATAAATTATAGAATTAAAAAAGCCATTGTTGTAGATGAGAAGTTGGGAAGGTAGGATAAATAAGGTTATTTCATTTAGAACTGTAAGCAACAATAAACCATTGTTTGGCGAAAGACAATTCCGAGCGTAGTTCGGTAATACATAATTTGAAGGGTCATAATTTTTTTTGAAATTTTCATTTAAATTTGATTTCAAAATGCTTATTAAAAAAAAAATTCGTCCCATGATTTTGAAAATTTTATTACGTCTAGGTATGTCCAATATAAATATTACCTAGTTTCAAGTCTCTACGTGAATTTAAAACTGAATTACAGCAAAAAAAAAAAAAAATTAAAAGTCCTTAAAAGCCCAAAAGTGACCGAAAAGTTTTAGCAATGCTTCCGTCAAAAAGTAAATCAAAAAAAGAACATTAAATGTATCTTGTAAATTTTCGATTAAATCATTTTTTTCTGGTGGAAAACGTCGTCCGTGCTTTTATAAAATTAATGAAATCTTGAAATTGTACGTTTTTTCCCACTTAATTGCTTTTATTTAAGAATGACATCTAAAATCGAAAAAATATCCTCTTTAAAATACTATCTAGACAATTTGAGTTTTCAAAAAAGTGGTTACACATAAATATTTGAGCAAGTTTACTAGAAAAAAACGTGTCCTCAGACTAGAAGAAAAAAAAATAAACATCTTAGTAAAACCAATAGCCCCCTCTCTACGCTCAGAATCTAAAACTGTAGTTTATTGTCAGAGGGCACGTGCCCCTGTGTTTTTTCCCTGGATCCGCCACTGGATGTATAAGTGCACATTTAATGAATTTTTAGTGAATTAAAAATTTTGCTTTGATAATAACTTGTTATATATAATGTATTTTAAAATTAACTATATACGTTATTAAAATTTGGAAACTATACACATATTGCTTACGACTTATTCTCGTTTTAATTTCGCCACCAACCATTACAATAACAGTAGTCATGAATGTAGACAGGGGCGTTAGTATTTAATGCTAACTGGCGATTTCTAATGGACTAAAAGTACTTGAAAACTCAAGAGCTCATTTTAAATGAAAATACCAATATTGGCGTGCTAAATGAAAAAAATGTATCTCCAACCTTGACCGAAATAGAGAATTTTTTTTCTATACTCTGTTGACTAGACTGAGTCTGTTCAACATTTCAACTTAAGAGTACAACGGGCGGCGGACGAATACACGTCCGTTTTCGAGCACGCGTTCCCACTCACGGTTATCGGTACCGCACTACCGCTTAATCCACTCAACCGCCCATCGATCTTACCGCCCTCGATACACATGGTATACGACGACATACACAGAGAAAAAAATATCGATAATATTTTGTTTTTACGGCCTTACGTACCGCGTACACGTATTTTCTCGTGTAAATGCTCCGTTTTAATTTGAATAAAAGCTATAATTTACGTTTTAAGTAATATAATTTTTCTGTTTCCCATTAGTTTAATTAAAACAATATATTATGCGTGTATATTACCATAGGCGCAACTTGACCACCAACTCCGAGGGTGATAAAATTATCGTGACTATTTTAACATTATCTTTCATACACACATGCATTGTCTGTAGGGAACCTATATATTATTTAATTCTGCTCATTAATTATGAAATTCATGGATAAAATATTTAGTCGTTACTATGAAAAACCTAATTGAGTTTGGGGGTGCTAAAAACCCCCTAGCACCCTCCTAGTTACGCCTATGTATATTACGATAATTTATTTGGCGGTAGGTCTTTAGATATTACGACTAGTTGTATACACGGCGGCGGTGGCGACAATCACGACGGTACGATTCGTAACTATTGTTAACGATCAATCTATTTGCGTATGGATACTCTTAAATTGAATAGAGTATAGCGATTTAGGGGATTTAAGGGGATGGTTTTCTGTTGTTTTACGAAGTAAAACTTAAGTATTACCAATCAAAAACCATTCAAATTGCATTTGAAAATAGTGAGATTTACCGTATTTTCATAAAATATTGTAAAACATTTAGCATAAACTTAAACGCCATAACAATCAATTAATTAGCAAAATAATTAACTGACACGAAAATACTTGAAGATAAATTATTTTAGATGACCATATCATTTACTTTATTGATAATTCTACATAAATTGTTTAGATTCGTAATCATTGTAATTAGAAAACACTGTAAAATGTATAATAGTAGTGTAATATTTTATTATCATGTACTTATATTATGCCTATATTCAGCAGGCTACCTCTCGTCACCATGCCATATTATCATTGAAAGCCCGCCTAAACTGGAGGGTATGAACCACGATTAAAGATAATTATTATATTTAATTAGTACATCGACATATTATTATTATTAACTAAATTATTATCAACACAATTAATTTATATTTATAATATAACGACTATTAACGTAGGTAATGGACAGATGTACAAATATTGTTTAC